GTATACATTATTGGCCCAGAAACTTAGCACGTCTTTCTGGAGGCGGCGTGCCATCTGTGGATCTCTGGTACACCAGGTGAGCCACTGGTCAGTGGAAAATCTCAGAGTGTATGTGTTTATATACATATATTCTGACTGCCTCAATTAAGTTTTAATGGCCGACCTTTGCCTTACTCTCTCTCTCTCGATGTCTGGACTGAGCAAAGTTCGTTTACAATTACACTTTTAAAACAGGCTCTGACCGCATCCGCATCCCAAAACAGGCTCTGACAAGTGGAGTGGTTGTCCTTGTGCCAGGCTGCGGGGTCAGTCCAGTGCTGGTAGTGAGGTTTTTATTGATTGACTGATGTATCCAGCAGATATTCTGAGAACAAAGCAGCTGTGCTTGGGGTACGAATACCCCATTATTGGGAATATTATCGCTGGCCAGCATTTCGAATTCAAAATGGCCACAAGGGAGGAGTACACCCTCCCCCTGGGTGGGGGTTAGGTAGATAGCTATCCCAATCAGGTTGTGACTAAGCCCTAATCGCTCTGCCAACAAACCCTCAAACTCAAACAAAACAAAAGCATAGAATGAATGTTTGGCTCATTAGCAGCTAGCTAGATCTAGGCTTCCCCCTCCTGGCTACGCCTCTGTTCCAAATACACACACACTGTGAGCGGGTGAGTACATGGCTGGCATTCCTGACGAAGTCAACTTGTTGCTGGCGAAAAGCGTTAGTTAAGATATTGATGTATGGGTTTGACATGGCTTATCGCCCGGAGAGCGAACTTTGGCCAGCTCCAGTGTCGTCGCATCATGTAATTGGGAACGGGTTACTCAGTGCTCCAGCCCATCCGGAGACCCCCTGATACTCTTGATACTCGGTGCCTGCTAGAAGAACAAAGAAACCAGAAACGAGCACAGCGACGACTACGACGAGGCGAAGCGCAGCTAAAAGCAAACAAGTAAAACCCGCTGGAGCTAAGGCGGCAGAGAGGGGGAAGTGCGTAATAGCAGCTAGAAGCGCACCGGAGACGAAGCTCACAATGGAACATAATGAGCACGGAGCACAGGGAGCACCCATGCAAAGTCTGGTCACAAAGAAAGCGAAGGTGAGAGTGTAGTATGCCAAGTGTTACCTGAACTAGGAATCAGAATTTAGATATATAGAGACTAGTACTTACTGCTGCGGTTGCCCTCCTTGACGCGGTACGTCAGGCTGTGGAAAGCCAAATCCACGGCTGGGCGCTTGGGCAAATGCTGTAGGGTCTTGGGCTGGGCGGGCACTATCTGGGCCTTCAGCTGTCCTCCGGCCACAGCTCCTGTCCTGTTGTCATTCAGCAGATTGGCATTATCGTTTTTAGTCATCTTGCTTGTTGGATTTCCCTTTTAATTATTTTTGGGGTTGGAAAAGCAAAATGCAACCACTGTGGCGGGTTGTCTCTCGGTCTCGTAGTGTGTGTATTCGTATTCGTAATACCAAAACTTTGCACTGAACAGCTATATTCCGCCGGGTTAAGTCGAGTTACTCTTATTGCCCTGCCGCCCTTCGTTCCCGTTCCCTTGCTATATGGGTTTCGGGTGACTCTGGGTTCACGTTCGCGTTCCCGTTCCCGTTCTCGTTTCAACCACCGCCGTGCCCTGCCGTGTGTGGTGGTGGTGCGGTGAGAGAAATTTTCCTCCCGTTGTTGTCGTCGTCTTTGGACAACGGAACACCGCTTCTCGAATTTTAGTACTTGTCTCGCTCGCGCCGCGATCGCAACTGAACTGGGCAGCAATTGCGGCAGTGGAACAAAGCCAGAAATTAAAAGCGACTGGTGGTGGAGAGTGGCACGCACACACACACACACACCCTACACTAGCGTATCAGCCCCCATTACTGCCGCTTGGGTTAGAGTGGGACGCCGCTAGAGGCGCCAGTTCTGGGGAGCATTCTAGCGAGAGCCCAAGTTAGATAGTGTGTGTGTGTTGCTCTCTCAATATATCTCTCATAATCTCTTGCTCTCTTTGTGACTCTTCCAAGTAGAACAGATTCTTCTGGGGGGAAATCTCAGGCAAATCTTAATCCTAATCTTTGGCTCTACAACTAAGGTGCTTCCTGGAAGACAAGAACAGGCCAGGTAGAGCCTTGAGGGAAGTCTGTGATAACAGTAGCTTGTGCGCTGATAATCCCGATAATAATCAGGGTTTGATAATACATAAGTTCTATGCTGATACCGATTTTAATTATTTATTTATTTTTTTTTGTAAGGTAATGTTTCCTGTGAAACCTAAAGCAGCTCAAGTACTTAAGTGACCTCTTTACAAGCCAAATTACAAGTTCAGGGCTACTCTTATGACTCATTATGGCCGCTGGCTTATCTAGGAGTTCCAATCTACCGCTGATATAGTTAGGTATTTCTATACAGTCGTCGATAATGGGGTTGTACTTTGACACCCATACGCCTCCAGAGAGAGAGAACCTCTAATGGCTTTTATTCCGCCTTGGGGCCTGCCCTGCTAACCGTTGGGCAATTGTTTAATTGCCGCTCGCCAGAAAGAGTCTCCGAGGAGTTGCCTTGGCGATTGTCAAGAAGAAATCTCCTGGGAAGAGTCTTCTAGGAGTGCTGGAAGATTAATTTTCCAAGCGATAATTTTGGGGATTTTAAAAGTGTTTTTTTCTGTTGGGAGCGAGTCTCCTAAACGATTTTTTAGCGTTTCAAATGGTTTACTGGGTTCAGTGGCAAGAAATTCCATCCGTCCAAGTCTGACAATGTGAGCGCTTTTTTAATGGTCCCGGGATGTGTTGGGGAACTGGCAACACCCCTTGTTTTATGTGGCATGAGGTCATTTGTAGCGCGTTAGGGCGTGGGAGGTCCTTACCCTAAGACTTGGCAGCCAAAATCAGTCATAAATTGGTTTCAATGGACATATAAGGGAATTAAAAACGAGTTTATGTACTATATATTGCATTTTAATCGCACTCGATTATGGCGATTATGAGAGATGTTATCAGAAGCCAAGGCTGGGTCTCTGGGTTCTAACTAACAATATTTGCTAGACTTTAGCTGATCTCGGACTCGGGCAAAAACACACTAGCAAAGAGAGCTTTGCAAAACCAAGTAAAGTCGAGGGAAACCGGTTTCGCGGTCTTATTGGTTTTATAAGTGAAAATCCACAAATGGCAGGCATTTTCCGATTTACGTGATATTTTCCTGGACTACTTATGCTTTCAATAGTTGTGCAAAAATAAAAAACCGATGAGTGTTTTCCGTGTAAATTCCTTAGGCTGGGGTTATTCAAATCACGGAGTTGTCAATTTGCAATTGCAAACCGGTTGACACCTGTTTGAATCTGATTGCAGCTTTGCATTTTGCTTTGGAACCTCTCCCCCTACTCACAGGTTATTGTTCTCCAAAAACTGCATCCAAGTGTGCTTGTTCATTGTGGCAGCCTTAGGAGTATTACTCTTTGTGCAACAAGTGGCCTTCACAAACTCTGGCTAAATGGCCAAATAACCAAATGGCCAGCTGTAATGTCAACGGGCCAGTCTGAAAATAATAATAAGTGGCGTTTTTATGGACTTGTCCATGCTACAGCGCAGTTTGTGCGAAACCGAGACCGACGGAGACCCCGACTCTTGCGTGGCGCCTTGCGAAAGAAAACTGAAGCCGGCCATCCAGTGGAAGCGGTGCCACACAACTGGAAAAGCGTAGTACGAGCGACCACTGGATGCCTATGCAGCGCGTTGCAAACGCACTTATACATAAACAGGCGCCGTCAGATGGTGGAAATTCGCACTCATACCATGATTTTCATTGCTGGTTTTTCTTTTTTATTTGTGCCTTGTTTTTATGACCTGTAAATAAAGAGGAAAGTGAGTATAAGCTACAATATATGATATAGTTAGTTGCTCAATCTCTTAAAGACTTCGATATAATACCATTGAGAAAATTTATTGGACTAGATTTTACTAACAATTTTACTCTCAAAAAATATAAAAAAATGTTAATAAAGTCTCAGCCAGCCCAGGGTATCTGCCAGTCGTTTCCTGTAACGCTTTCCCTTGTTTGTTTTTTGTTATGGCAACCTGAAGCTCGGCCAAAGTTATGTCAGCCGGCCAAAACAACTAGCTTGTTTTCCCGCCACCTGGCGACCAAGGAGAACGTGCCAATTGTTGCGCTGCGCCAGCTTAGCTGCTTTTCCAGGCTCTCCTCCTCCCTTCCAAGGGAATGCCCCGGCAACGCCTTTTAATCAACGGCGCCTGTAAATCGAGTATACGTAGTGTTCACACTCTTGTGGCAGCCTAGAAGCAGGCTATATATTGTGTGAGATCTTCTGGGGGATCCAAATCAATATTTTTCTTCTTTGGTTTGGTAAATAACAGCTGATACCCTTGAGTTGTGTCCAGTGAACTTTGCACCAGAGCTGGCGTTGGCGGCGTGTGGTATCCATTTCTGGCGAGAGAGTGGGAGAGAGCTCTCTCCATGCGCACAACTAGATGCGGAACTGTTGCTCTCTCGTGCAGTTGCATGTAAAAGTAATGCTGTAACAGGGCAAAGGGGGAGAGGGGAACGTTTGTTTTGTTATGGAAATAGCAAAGAGAGAGAGGAAGCAGACAGAAGCAGAGAGAAGCAGAGAGCAAAGGCTGAACAGTGCCTGCCACAAGATTAGACACACTGTGACTAAAGTTAGCAAAGAATTTATTTTGGGACATGTCAATGCCCCCAGGTGTGGATTCTCTGTTGTTTTATAGCTTGGTTTCCTTTATTTATTTGTTGGTTTTTCTTGACCTGCATAGTTTGCAGTGTAGCGAATCAGTAACGGTAGATTTCGCCTTGAATCATTCTGCGCCCGCTCTCTGAGAGTTGCCCCCCCCCCCCCCGCCATCGCACTCCCTGGGAGGCTACATATGTATGCCTCTGCCGCGGTCGCTGCCATCGCCAACTGCACACAACGCGATAAAGAAAAACCCGAGGAGGCGTACGAGCCGAAACGAAACAAAAAACGAAACGAAAAGCGGAAAAAAGTGAATGTTGTCGCGCTGACGGTGCTCACAAGCCTTCCAAAGCTCACATTGGTTGGGTGTCCTCAGCAGTCGCTCCGCAGCAGCCACTGAAGAAGCAGCAAGAAAACAGAAAAAAAAAAACAGAAAACCCAAAACAGAAAGTCCCGCTAAGATCCGATCCGAAAAAGTCCAGAGAAGACCTGCAAGTCGAGCGAATACACGAGACGTAACAGTAAGTGCCGCCCACTGGAAAGGCATTTGGTTTTCCAAATCCCAACCTGAGGAAGTTCATATAATTACATAAAAGTGACAAACAGCAGCATCCTTGGAGCTACTGCGCACATACATACACAGAAAATAAGACCTCAAGAAAGTGTGTCCTTTTGTCCTCTAACTCTGGTGTCTTGCTCTTTTCCCTTTCGTTTCCCGCAGGATCATGGCATTCCGCGTGGCCGGACTCTTCCTGAAGCGGGAGCTAGTGGCTCCCGCTGCCCAGCAGCTCCGCCTGCTGCGCACCTCCAACGCCGCCCGCTCCCAGTTCCTGGCCAACTCGCCAAACACGGCTCTGGACAAGAGCATCCTGCAGCGCTATCGCAACCTGGAGACTCCCGCTAACCGGGTTCAGGCCACATACCTGTGGATCGATGGCACCGGTGAGAATATCCGCCTCAAGGATCGTGTCCTGGACAAGGTGCCCAGCTCCGTGGAGGATCTGCCCGACTGGCAGTACGATGGTAGCTCCACCTACCAGGCCCATGGCGAGAATTCGGACACCACCCTGAAGCCCCGCGCCCTGTACCGCGATCCCTTCAAGCCGGGCAAGAACGATGTCATCGTCCTGTGTGACACCTACAATGCTGACGGTAATCCCACGGCCTCCAATAAGAGGGCAGCCTTCCAGGCGGCCGTCGAAAAGATCGGCTCCCAGGAGCCCTGGTTCGGCATCGAGCAGGAGTACACTTTGCTGGACGTGGACGGACGTCCTTTTGGCTGGCCTGAGAACGGTTTCCCCGCGCCCCAGGGACCCTACTACTGCGGCGTGGGCGCCGACCGTGTCTATGCCCGTGATCTCGTGGAGGCCCATGCCGTGGCCTGCCTGTATGCCGGCATTGACTTTGCCGGCACCAATGCCGAGGTGATGCCCGCCCAGTGGGAGTACCAGGTGGGACCCAGCAACGGCATGAAGGCCAGCGATGATCTCTGGGTGTCCCGGTACATCCTGCAGCGCATTGCCGAGGAGTACGGCGTTGTGGTGACCTTCGACCCCAAGCCCATGGAGGGTCAGTGGAACGGTGCCGGTGCCCACACCAACTTCTCCACGAAGGCAATGCGCGCCGATGGCGGCATCAAGGCCATCGAGGAGGCCATCGAGAAGCTGAGCAAACAGCACGAGCGTCACATCAAGGCCTACGATCCCAAGGAGGGCAAGGACAACGAGCGGCGGCTGGTGGGTCGCCTGGAGACCTCCAGCATTGACAAGTTCTCGTGGGGCGTGGCCAATCGGGCGGTGAGTGTGCGTGTGCCCCGTGGCGTGGCGGCAGCCGGCAAAGGATACTTTGAGGATCGCCGGCCCAGCTCCAACTGCGATCCCTATGCCGTGTGCGGCGCCCTTGTCCGCACCTGCCTGCTGAACGAGTAGAGGAGATCGAAAGCCCTAATGGGGGCGTTGTTGTACATAGAATATATTGTTGAACTTTGGAGTCCGAATCCGATTTGGATTTCGATTTCGATTTCGATTTGGATTTGGATTCGGTGTGCAAAAAGACAGGAGCGAGTAGCATTTAAGACTCTGGGCGGGCGGGCAGTAAGAAATCGAACCGAAACCGAAGTATATTCTGCCATAAATAATTTACAAATTATGTATACCTTATCTTTGCTTTAATCTAAATAATAAAAACCCCAAAATGTACCCTACGGAAAGGAAAATCCATTTGTAAACTCTACAAGTTTTGACCTCACTCGTTGAAGAATTGGAATATAGAGAAAACATATATCACTGAAATTGGACGATATCAAATACCTAATTGATCATTCATATCCCATATACACACACGCAGATTGTTTGTAGTAAAAGTTTGTTGAATGCAATTTTAAAGAGAAAAGCACCTAGTATATTATATAAAAAAAAAACTATATATATAAGAATCTTGTTCGCTTTCTATATGTACTTTTATCTTATAAATGTCTCTACAGAATTCCAATGCAATTCAAATAAACATTTTGCGTAAAAGCACAAAGTTGTAAACAAAACACACACATTACTAAATTCTAATTTATTTTCTCTCTCTCTTTTAGTTGTTTTTTTTGTTTTTTTTTGGCGAGCTTTCAAAACAACTATTACTCGCTGCAGCAGAATTTTAAAATATAGAACGCTTTGTTTTGTAAATAAGTGCGGCTGTTGGCGACCTAAAGCAAGACCTTGTTTTTAATGGAAACTTTTTCGCCAGCAGACGCCGTCCCTTGTCCCCTTTGGCTGACACTGAAAGTTTTCCAAGATTAATGCGTGCGGGGAGAATATATGTAACATATATGCTGGGTGCTACATATAGGCCTCTTTGTAAGATATGGCTTGTGGAGAGGAAAGTTTTCCATTGATGATGATGCATACAGTCAGCTGATGAGGCAGAGGGAGTGGGTATCGATTGACCGTGGACTTTGTTTAGTTGGATATGTCTTTTCTATATTAAACTTTACTTAAGGTAAACTTTGATATTATTTTGTATCAAAAAGATAGCTTACAAGACTGTTGAAATCCAAAATAATTCCAAAAACAAAATCCTGAAATTACTATTATTCTTCAGTTTATAGCACATTTATGTCGGTTCAGATTGCAGTATAGAAAAGTTAATGGTTATGGGACTCGGGACTGGGGACTTGGACTGGAAATGACTATGTTGACATTCCGAGGTGCAGCTTGTTTGTGGCGGATTACGGATTACGGTACACGCAAGTGCAATGGGGTCGAGAGCTGGCAAAAGATAAGGCGAAACGGTTTGTCCGGTTTGCTAAAAATAAAAAAAAAAAGCCACAAACGAGAAAAAAACAAGGCTGAATGCACTCAGCTGGGCGCAGTACTGATAATCCGTTGCAAGGGCCCAGGGCTTAACCGTGCTGCAAAGATAACCCCGCCAGATGTTGGTGGAAGAGGCATTCCTATGCCCAAACCCGTTTTCTTCGTACCCCCATGTGAGGGGTTAGATATTAAATAAAAACACATAAACAATGATAATCAAGATTCGTAGAACTTGCGATCGAAATCCAAATCGAGATCGAGAGTTCCGCACCATAGACCAGATCATTAATGGGTGTTGAAGCAGGTTTAAATTGGTATGCATGAAACGAGTTCGGAGATGTCAACACCAGTGTCTTACAATGCAGGTGGATCCAGTTATGCTGCCTACCAGATTTGCATAATATGAAATGATAAGCTTCATGAAGTTGCTAAAGAAATGTTGTTTTTCCAGGTAAAGAACTCACAATCTTATCGGTGAATCAACTCAATAACACTCAACGATAACTGGAGATCTAAAAATAGTTGCATTTTGCACTGTTTAAGCTCAAGAATATCCGCTTACCCCAATAGCTTATATATAATCAAGTAGAGCAAATTATGCAACCAGCAAATCTAATTTGCACAAAACTGATAAAAGAGGCCGAAAAGCGACCACGGACATTAGCACATAATTTGAATAAAACAGTTTAGACGAGCGGCGTTTAAAGTCCGGCCGAGAGCTGGCCTGATAAGGCAGACACCGACACCGACACAGGGCACCATTATATGGCCTTCCGCCTGCAAAAGTCTGACCATTATCTGCTCGGTTTAACTCGGTCAACAGAATGGCGGAGTGATGGCTATGGCTCCTCCGCTTCGGTTATCATAGGGCCATAAATCATTTCGCTAGGAATAAAAAATAACAGCTGGGGAATTACTTTTAAAACTTAATTGATGTAATCAATGTGGCGCTATATGTGGGCCCAGGAAACATTCCACCCAAACGCCTAGGCCGGCGAATGTTTAACCAAATAATTATAAATATTCTATATAAGAACGGAGAGCACGGCCACGGCCTCTGAACGTGATTGCAAATGCCCCGATCTTGCTACAGTGGAGCCTCAGAAAGGTTTACCATAAATCTTAAAAAAATTTAAATATTTTCGACATTCTTGAAGGGTATTTTGATTTTATTTACGGAAGCAATCATTTCCGACCCCATAAACCATATATATTCTTGATCAGCATTAACAGGCGCATCATTCTGGCCATCTCAGGAGAAAATTAATTTTTGGGCCATTTTTTAGAAAAATTATAAGGGGTTACATCATGATTTTTTTCAAAATTTGACCAAAAATTAGATTTCTTGAAAAATTAAATTTAGTATGCAGATTTGTTAACATATAAAAAACTAGCTTAGAAAAGCAAACCAAATTAAAATTAAGGCTTTTTTGACTGAGTTATGAAATTTTTAAATTAAAAATTTTTTGATTTGATCTAACATATTTTCAAATAATAATATCGATTAAAAACTAAAACTAAAAAATAGAATTTGTATACTTTGTTGTTTTTTAATATTTAATAATAATAATAATTATTTATTTGCAATAATTGGTAGTTTTAAATGTTAATTTAAATTAAAGTTCTGTATTAGATCATCGAAAACCAGTTGGGAATTTTAACAGTTAAATGTATTTTTTTGGTTGATATTGATTTTCTTCTTATTAAAATGCTATTTATATTTATTTAATGATTAAATAGGTAACTTTCAGTCCTATTAAATAATTAATATTAATATTTATATCATATATTTATATTATATATTTATTCACCAAAAAGAACCCTATTTCCCCACAATATTTTATTTCTGAGCAGCCCAAACACTGCGATCGCGAATCGCCAATCAGTTGGGAATCTAGCTTTACATGGCGCCGAAAGTGGGTCAAGAAACCCGTCGCGGGAGGTGAACTCAACTCAACTCAACTGAACTACTGATAACGCCAGATTTACAGCCACAATGTTGGACATTATGGCATACACGTAATGCCACTTGGGGGCGACTACGTCACAGGCACACCGGCACCGGCTGCGGCAATAAAAAGAGTCAGCAAAAAACAGAGCCTGAACCTGTTTATGGATCAAACGGATCGTTGCTGGGGGGGCATTGTTTATACTTTTATGTGTGTTTTCAATTGGCCAAACCAACTGGCTGTTGAGATTACGCTTTACGGCTCCAGTTATAGCCGCGGCAAGTCATAATTGATGGCTCGAATCGAAAATATATGGCAAGCACTAGGGAAGCGATTATAAAACCTGTCAAAATGCCACAGATATCAGCGGTGACCAGTGTCAGGTCCTGTGACTGATGTCCAGAAAGAAAAATAAAAAGTGAAACGGTCACGTAGCCTGGAATTGGGTTGGATTTGTAGAGGTGTTTAGGCGGAATCACCTTTATCTTTTTGGCGCGTGTCGATATGACCGGGTGGGGTCTGGCCCAGACACTCGGCGAGTGCTGTCTTTTTTTTAAATTTTTATCTGGCCTATTTATCTAATTTCCCACTGCTCACGCCATGGCCCAGTGATGGGGGCGGCTCTTAAAATAATCTAAAGAACTTTACTATATAGTAAAGAAAAAAGTATTCTGGAACTGAATCACACGAGTTTTCTTCGAGCTTATTTCCCAGAGCGGCCAAAGATCTTTTTTCACTAATTTATGGCACTGATTTCTTGGTTGCTTTCCCTCTCCTCCCTCAGGAGATCTTTGTCTTGGCACACGCGAGTCGCAAAATATTTGCGTCATCGCCGCCACACGCGTCTGCCAAGTGATCTCCTCCGTTTTGGCTTTTGTTGATATCTGCAGCCGCGAGTTCAGTCCTCCGACTGGCGATCTCTGAGGTAATCACCGACAAACCAATGACGGTTTTGGACTCTGCCAAAGGTCGTTTTTTCTGCCGAGTCGCATTATTTTAATTTGTAATTATTATTAATTGCCGAAACAAAAAAAAAAACTTTGATTATGTTTCTAGTGCTATCTGTTAATTGACAAATGAGATAGTGGTGGTGCCAGAGCCACTCTACAAACAAAAGGGAAGACTTTGTTTTATTTTTTTATTTTGTATTCTTGATAAGGGCCTTTCGATAAGCTGGGCATTGTATATTTTTTTATTGGGAGTTGTTTACCCAGCTTAAAAATGATATCAAGGTTGGCTGCCTCATCACCCTCCAGTAACGAGGCATTTTCTTTCATATTTATAATGAACTGATTTTAACCCATATATTATATATATATTATTCTCTTTGTTTCCTTGGGTTCATTCACTCTGCCAGGGAGTGCCATAAATGGCTCAAGCGCTGCTCATTAGCTAGACCGAAAAAAAATTATTTGGGAAGACCTAGAAGAGCCCAGCCAGAAGCTGCTCCATATTGACAGGGCTAGCCTTAAAGGATCGATAAATATAATTAATTTTGGATAAGATTCAGGAAGCTAAGTACAAGCCAACCCTTTGCTGGCTTGTACTTAGTTAATTTAATTCATTCATTTTATGTTTAATTATATTTTAAAAATATTTAGGTCAGAAATTAAGTTGTTTTTTGAAAGAAATTGGTTATTAAAAAAAGAAACCTAAAATCATGATAATAGGAAAAATTATTAAATAAGAAAATCATTCACTGAGAATCAACTTAGAACCAAAAAGTATAATATCAGGTGAATCTTTTGTAGATATTGTAACTATTTACGGCATAATTTTTATTTTTCAGATTTTTATAATATGTATAATGATAAAAATTAAGAATTATATTGTATATTTTAATTATAAATATTTACTTTTTAAACATAAAAATAAAATGCACTTAAAATTCATTATTTTTAAGCAAAAAAATTCAAATCAAAAATAAAAGTCAAGGCTAACGAGTTTAAATTCTTCAAAAATTAGAAATTATTTTACTTTTCAATATTTACTGATTAATTTTCTACAAAGAATTTCTACATTTTAAATAATCAAAAGCTTTAAACAAGTATTTTACTTATGTTACTCCTAAAGTTTCTTAAATTCCAACTGCCTTTAGCATACTTTTCCCTTCAAACAAAATGTAATAACATATTTTCAGGCTTTCCCAAACCAAATCAAACTCTTTAAAGCTACTTTTCAGATATATTTTAACAAAATATACCAGCTTTATTCATTCATTGGCCCCACAGCTCCTCTTGACCACCTTTCCAGCCATAAAATAAGTGGACAAGGGCCTCAGGCGACCCCTCGAGCCCAGCTCCTCAAAGAGACCACCCTTGACAGAAAACGTGTGCTTGGGCTGATAGAGAAGACTCAGCAGCGGATTCTTGGGGCTGACCTTCATGTTGCCCATGCTGTAGGTGCCTGGGACCAAGGGACAGCTCAGGGAGTAGTTGCTCTGCTTGAGCATATTATCCTTGACGGGCTTGAAGAGCGGCACCGAGTTGAAGACATTCTGCAGATCGCACAGCTTCATGGTGGCATTGTAAATAGTACGGGGTTTCTCCTTGGACGAATGCTGGAGGATTAGAATCCGGGACACAGGTGAGGCTATCTCCTCGTTGATGGTGGTCACAGAGCCAATGCCGGTTTGATTGGAAAACGTCATGTTTACAATGAACCTCGGTCGGGCATCCGTCCAGTTGGCATGGGTGAAGAATATGTAGTAGCAGCTCTGATGGGGTGATGATTAGGAATAACTATAGAGATATATATCCTTTGGCAAACCCACCTCCTTGCTGCCTATGCCGCTGAGTTCCAGCAGGAGCAGCCAGGTCGTTATAGAGACCAACGTTCGCCAGTTGCCTCGCATGTTGCCCCAGACTGATGGCCAGCAATTGCTTGATTTCCCAGCCCAGAGAATAATAAAACAATTAGCCATTAAAATCTCATTAGTTTTTATTAGAGTTTTTGTTCTCAGATAATAAAATTATAAACAAAATTAGTATAAAATATCAAACTTTTTAGCCAAACTCAAAATCTCTTTCAGTTTTCGCCCAATACGCTCCGAGCCTGCATTCTTCAAAACATCGCCAAGATCCTTATCCGAAGAGGAGGAGGATGTTGATTCCCCTTCATCCGCCAGTATAAATCTCGTCATGAAGATGGCATGGGGCACCTGGATATATGCCACTCGCTTTACTTCCGCCCGGAATCTGTGAAGCGCGATAATAATTAGCCAAAAAGAGTCTTCAGATTTCATTAACATCTTATCTTACGCCGCCAAGCTGTAGCTGGTCGTATCAGCTCCTACACGGCGCAAACAAGACACAAAGACCTCATAGTAGGACTCCAACATGTGTTCGAAATGTAGCTCCAAGATAGCGGTATCAACGCTTGATAGCAGGAAGGCGATTATGTCATGAACCACGGAATCGAACTGGGCGGTCTGGAGGTCGATTATTTTCAGCCGAGAGGGCGTTCCCGAGGGTTCTAAAAAGGTAGAGATAGCAAAAGGTCTTTATCAAAGTCAATTCTTATCGAGAGAAATATTATTATTGCTTGTGATTTACAGATTGTGAAGGAAATTTCTGATGGAATAGGTTTAGTTTGTTATGAAAATTGAGAGAACTTAGATATTCTTACCATACTTCACCATCAAGTTATTGATCCAATAATCACAGTGAATGATACTAGCAAAAGGTCCATCGGGTCTATCCGGCTGGGCGGCTAAAAACTCAAAGAACTTGTCCGACAGCTCTTTCACGCGGGCCACCAGCTCCTCATCATTGTCGGTGGCTTGTCGTATGTCCTCCAGGGTCTCGGCCTTCATGATGGCCTTCCACTCCGGAGCAGCTCCATGCCAGTCAAACTTGTTGAAGAAGGGACGCACTTGCTCCCTAAACACCTGGGGCTTCAGCAGTCTTAGTCCCACGGGAAGAGCATGGAACTCGGCTAGGTATCGGAGGGCCAAAAGAGTATGAGGTAGGTCATAGGGCTGCAGTCTCTGGCCGGAAACAAAGCCGCTAAAGCGAAGATTCTCCAGCACCAAGACGGCATCTTGATCTACGGTTTTAGAGCCTGGATCGAGGGAAATGCGTGAGCCAAAGTAGCGAGGGAAGCCATCAAAGTGGCTCTCCTCTGGGATGCCAGCCTCCTTTTGTAGAGCCACCAGAGCCGGGGCCAAGACCTGGTAGACAGCGTTCTCCGTGAGGCAGGTCCGTTCGGGTTGAAAGAACTGCCAGTATTTGGGATCGGTGGGAGGAACCTTGGCCACCAGCTGCTGCTCGAAGGGTTCTGCTGCCTGGGAGCTCTTCAACTGGGCTTGGATGGCCAGAAGAATGCTGCCATAGTTGTCTCCAGGCTGAGTCAGGCTTTTAGACTGATAGCCCAGGAGTTTGGCTCCTCCCAAGTGGGGTTCAATCACCTGATTAAGATTTTTTATAACCGGCAAACTCTGTGTCTCCGGCTCCATGCTAGCAGCACTTGTGACCACAATCTTGCCGAGAGTTTAACTACAAGTCGTGTGTAGTAAGAGTGCAAACAAGGCGCTGATTAGGTGGCTGATAAGGCTGATAAGGAAGTGTTAAGACGGACAGAGAGGGGCGTGTTCTGGGTTCAAGTTTTTATTTCTGTCGTGATAATGACAAAGCGGAATTAGCATTATTAAAAAAATATGTTAAACTTCTTGCCCAGCCGCAGAATAGCCTCGAATTTCGTCACAATTGTCTTGATGCCTGTATTTTTGCTCAGCACGGAGAAGTCCATGTCTTTGTAGTCATCGGGAATGGTGCTGTTGTCGGCCAGGATGACCTTCATCATGAAAATGGCATGGGGCAGCTGGAGGTAAGCCACACGCTGGACTTCTTCATGGAATCTAAAAGAAAAATCTATGAGAAAACTCTCTTTTTTAGGTGGGCTTTTAGACTTACTTCTCGTAGGAGTAGCCACTGGTGTCCACATTTACGCTCTTCAGGCTCTGGATAAAGGCCTTGTAGTATATGCTTAGGAAATTGTAGTAGTTGTCCTCCAAGACCTGGACATCCACACTCGAGAACAGCAGGAAGATGATGTCGTGCACCAAGGAGCCATACTGAGCTATTTGGAAGTCCACTATTTTCAATTTAGTGGGTGTGCCCTCCTCGTCTGTAAGATATTCCAGATGAATACTCTAATCCTCCCAGAGATAGCTTCTTTTCTTACCGTATTTCACCATCATGTTGTTGATCCACAAATCCCCATGCACCAGGCTGGTGAAGGGACCATCCTCCTCATCCTTGTCCGCCTGAAAGGCATCGAATGCTTCCTGCAACTCCTTGACCCGCGCCACATCCCGCTCATCATTGGTCACCGCCCGAATGTCCTTCATCAGCTCCTCGTCCATCTGTTTTTTTTGCTCCGGATCTATGTTGCCGTTCATGTTAAACTTTAGGAAAAAGGGACGCACATATTTCTCATAGACTTCGGGTTTCTTCAAACGCAGGGCAATGGGCAGGGCATGATAGCGGGCCAAATAATTCAGGATGAGCACGGTGTGGGCCAAATCATAGGCCTTGTGCCTGTTCCCAGGCTGATAACCCCGCACCGTGACATTCTCCTGGACCAGCACGGCATCCCGATCCACCTTTGCAGCTTTGGGATCCAGGGAGATGCGGGAACCGTAGTAGCGGGGAAAGCCATCAAAGAGCTCGGCGGGCAGAATGCCCGCCTCCAGCTGAAGCTTGTCCAGCTCCGGCGACAAATACTGATAGACCGCATTCTCCGTGATGCAGGTACGCTCCGGCTGGAAGATCTGCCAGTAAAGGTCGTTGGTCAGCGGCGGCAGCTTGGCAATCAGCGGCAGATCCCGCACAGAGCCATCAGCGTTGCGGATGTGGGCCTGCACGGCCAGCATGACGCTGCCATAGTTGTCGCCCGGCTTGGTCAGGTAGCGACTCTTGTAGGACTCCAACGTGGAACCCTCCGGCAGATGGGGCTCGATCACCTGCTTGAGGTCCGTGATCTCTGGCACTTCTCCCATGTTGACTCTCTCTCTCGCTGGTGGGGTTTGTGCTGCTCCGCTGCCTTTGAACGAATGAATGGGTTCGTGCGCCAGGTTACCGAAGGTATTAAACCCGCCAACTCGTGCGAGCTAGTAGTAGTAGTAGTAGTATATTTGCCGAGCGAAATATTGGCTCAAGTGGTTTTGATAACGATTCAGGGGTATACTCATTACTCAGTGACGGGGCATATTCATTCGAGTGCATTTCTGGAATGTACTTAAACTTTAGCTAAACTTTAATTTCCTGTTTATACCGGAAGTCTTGCTAAAAGAAGAACTTTGTAAATGGCACGACTTTCTAGGGTATATCACCTTCTATCCCTTCTCTGGGTCTCTGTTTTCTGTGTCCCCCCTGAATAAATAGCTGCTCTTGATTCATATCAACGCGGCCGGCCATGATCATCATGATGATGATGATGAATTGTGCAAAGCTCGTTCTATGAAGAACAGCTCAATTAGCAGCGACAACAATCGGCAACATCTGCGGGCGGCAAGTCTAATTAAAATGTCTGCCTTATCACCGATGACGCTTATGCGCCTTGGTTTTTGGAAAACTCAGTATGATTTGCCAGACTTAACGGCGCGAAATTTGAATTTTTACTCACCTCTATTTGCTTCTTACCTTTTTTTATCGATCATTTAGTGGGATTATTAATTAAGTAGAATTATTTTTTATTTAATTTTAGTGTGATTAATAATTTAATATAATTCCAGTTTATTTATAATTCTATTTAAAATAATTCTAGTTTATTTAATATTACCATAGTTTATCTAAATAAAAACAATAAAATGATTATCAATTTAATTGAATTTTGTTTTATTTATTTTAAGTTTTTCTAAAAGAGAACAATAAAATGATTTTTAATTTAATATAATTATAATTTATTTTATTATAGTTTATATAATTTAAAACAATAAAATACATTTATTGTACAGTTGAATTTGAGTTCCAATTTGTGCTTAAACGATCCTCTAGATAGCTTTTCAACATTAATTTTAGCGGCACATTTGAATTTAAATTTGAAAAAACGTTACGTTTCTGCCTTCATTTAAGCAGACAGGCCATTTTCAGCCAATATTGCAATACTGCCAGGTGAGCATCTCTAATGCAAGTGTCCCAATAATGCGAAAAAGGAAGATGAGCTTCACTGGCATTAAGTGAAATTCAATTTTGTCCCAATAATGCAAAATAGCTAAATGAGCATCACTGGCGTTAAGTGAGATGCAATTTTGTCCCAATAATGCAACATAGCTAGATGAGCATCACTAGCGGTTAGTGAGATGGCATTTTGTCCCAATAATGCAACATAGCTAAATGAGCATCACTGGCGTTAAGTGAGATACAATTTTGTCCCAATAATGCAAAATAGCTAAATGAGCATCACTGGCGTTAAGTGAGATGCAATTTTGTCCCAATAATGCAATATAGCTAAATGAGCATCACTGGCGTTAAGTGAGATGCAATTTTGTCCCAATAATGCAACATAGCTAAATGAGCATCACTGGCGTTAAGTGAGATGCAATTTTGTCCCAATAATGCAATATAGCTAAATGAGCATCACTGGCGCTAAGTGAGATGCAATTTTGTCCCAATAATGCAATATAGCTAAATGAGCATCACTGGCGTTAAGTGAGATGCAATTTTGTCCCAATAATGCAATATAGCTAAATGAGCATCACTGGCGTTAAGTGAGATGCAATTTTGTCCCAATAATGCAATATAGCTAAATGAGCATCACTGGCGTTAAGTGAGATGCAATTTTGTCCAAATAATGCAATATAGCTAAATGAGCATCACTGGCATTAAGTGGGATGTTATTGGCTCCCAATAATGCAACATATTGCAATATAGCTAGATGAGCATTACTGGCGTGAAGTGAGATGGCATTTTGTCCCAATAATGCAACATAGCTAAATGAGCATCACTGGCGTTAAGTGAGATGCAATTTTGTCCCAATAATGCAATATAGCTAAATGAGCATCACTGGCGTTAAGTGAGATGCAATTTTGTCCCAATAATGCAATATAGCTAAATGAGCATCACTGGCGTTAAGTGAGATGCAATTTTGTCCCAATAATGCAACATAGCTAAATGAGCATCACTGGCGTTAAGTGAGATGCAATTTTGTCCCAATAATGCAATATAGCTAAATGAGCATCACTGGCGCTAAGTGAGATGCAATTTTGTCCCAATAATGCAATATAGCTAAATGAGCATCACTGGCGTTAAGTGAGATGCAATTTTGTCCCAATAATGCAATATAGCTAAATGAGCATCACTGGCGTTAAGTGAGATGCAATTTTGTCCCAATAATGCATCATAGCTAAATGAGCATCACTGGCGTTAAGTGAGATGCAATTTTGTCCCAATAATGCATCATAGCTAAATGAGCATCACTGGCGTTAAGTGAGATGCAATTTTGTCCCAATAATGCAACATAGCTAAATGAGCATCACTGACATTAAGTGGGATGTTATTGGCTCCCAATATTGCAATATAGCTAGATGAGCATTACTGGCGTGAAGTGAGATTTTATGGCTTCCCAATATTGCAATATAGCTAGATGAGCATCACTGGTGCATGTGAGCATCACTGATGCATGTCGATCGGCCAACAATTTGTCCATGTGAACTGATTGCAACAACAACCCCTTTACAACAAGATCTCCACATCAACCCATCCAATTTTACAAAAATTTCCATCCAATTTGCCTGTTTCCCAAATTAGGGTAACAGGAGAACAGAAAGCAGCAGCAAGCAACTGAAAACTGGTATAAACTGTTATAAAAACTTTGGGCCAGAAATAATAATTGGTATAAACTGTTATATTTGATTTTATGCATTTATACCTATTTCCTGCCGACTTGATGGCAACAACAACCCTTTCACAACAACATCCCTACAGCAGCCCATCCAAATTTCCGAAAATTTCCATGCAAATTGCCCGTTTCCCGATTTGGGGTAACAGGAGAACAGAAAGCAGCAGCAAGCAACTGAAAACTGGTATAAACTGTTATAAAAAGTCCAAGTTTCGAACCATTGATCTTGGAGTAAGCACAGACTCAAACCAGATGTGACCATATTGTTAATTTCTGCGTTCTTTTTGCTGCTTAATTTTTCATAGCACACTTTTGGGCTGAATTATTACCTACTTTTGGGCTGATTTATTGCCTACTTTTGGGCTGATTTAAATACTTGTCCACCCGAGTTCCGCACCCCTCGGAACTAGTTCACGATGGTTATCGATTTCCCCAACTGCGAACCGAAATAAGTTATCGGTCACTTGCCATCTTCAGAATACATTTCCAAAACAAAATTTATTGTTTACAATTTATAAATTAAAAACCAGCATGGACTTCCAGTCGCTGATGCAGCAGATGTACAGCAATGCGGGGGGCATGCCCCTTATGATGCCGCCCTCACAGAACGGCTATGGATACGGCCAGCAGCAGCCTTTCTGCCCCTTCCCGCTCAATGGCATCCATCTGGAGCAGCAGCCGGAGCCGGAAGAGGATGACGAGGACGACGAGGAGCAGCGCACCCTGTTCTGTGGCAATCTGGACGAGCGCGTTTCGGAAGAGATACTGTACGAAGTGTTCCTGCAGGCCGGTCCCATCGAGGAAGTGCGCATTCCCACGGACAACATGGGCAGGCAGCGAAACTTTGGCTTCGTCACGTACCAGCACCAGTGCGCGGTGCCCTTTGCCCTCCAGCTGTACCAGGGCCTGGAGTTGTATCAGAAAAAGGTGACCATCAAGCAGCAGGGCGCAGACAGGGCCAGGCAGCAGCAGCAGCAGAATGCCTCCTCCTTTGGCCCGAATCGCCTACGGAATCCCTTCTCGATAGAGCCGCCGCCCACGGCCGCGTCCTCGCCATCCGCACCGCACCGCAATCGCCACTCCATGCACGGAGCCAAGCCCTACGACCGCAAACCAGGAGGAAACAGTGGAGATCAGCGACGACGCAGCGACAGCTCGGTGATGGAACGCAACAGGCCGAGGCAGCAGCAGCAGCATCATCACCAGCACCTGCCCGGCGGCAGCCGTCATTCGGATCAAAGGCACAACCAGCGGCGCCTGTTCTGATAGATTCTACACGTTGTAACAATGTTTTATTAGTCTTTACGAGATTAGCTTAAGAACTCCTAGTTAAAAATGTCGATTAACCGCCTAAAATGATGGTCTATTTGTTGTGAATCCAATCCGAGAGAGAATGTGCGCCTTAAATACACCTAAGCTGTACACATATTGAGCGGGGCTGGATGGGGATCCTACTTGATCCCCCTCAGCGTCTTCTCCACATTCCTGTAAGTGCGTGGGGGTATCACCTCCAGCAGCAGACGCTGATACGCTTGGTGCTCGGACAGAGCGCGGAACAAAGACTTGGCATAGCTGCGCGTCTCCAGGCTGCCCTCCAGCAGCAGGTTGGCCCCCACCACAAAGAACTTGTCGCGGTTCTCCCTGCCCATGGCATACACACGATCGCTGCCCAGTCGCTCCACCAAACGGAAGAGCAGCTTGGCCGTGGTGGTGCGCACCAAGGCATGCTGATGCTGGGCTCCCTTCGAGGCCAAAATATTCAGAATCTTGGCGGGCTGGGCATGATCCACCATGGACTCCAGGGCACGTGTGGCATCGGCACGCAGAAACCGATTCGTATCGGCGGTGCGGTGGAGCAGGGCACACACCAGATCGTCGCATTCCTGCTGGAGACTCGAGGACTTCAGGGCAAAGAGCTCGGAGGCTGCCTGGCAGGAGGCGCGGGCCACCTGGGAGCGTAGATTGCGCACCGAACGGGTTAGCTGGATGCAGGTCATGTGCATCTGATTGTCCAGAGTGTCGCCATGGTAGCGGATCAGACGCACCATGCTCTTCAGTCCGGCCACGTTCTGCTCCCAGTTGCTAGAGTCCAGATCATCAAAGGTCTTGAGCAGGGCCTCGCGCGGCTTCTCGAAGCGCGACATGTTCTGGGGGAACAGCTCCGCCTGGGACATCTTGATGGCCTGCTTCACCGGCGAGACGCGTCTTCGTCCGCGCAGGAAATAAGCTGTTTTGGATTTCTGCTTCAGCGGCGCATGCTGCGGGGTCTGGGCAGGTAGGGTGGCCATCACTTGAGAGCCACTCTCGGTGGTGGTGCTGGTACTAGTGTCCAGTGAGCCCTGCTTGGAGGCGGGTCGAGCTCCGTACAGGGATTCCAGGGAAACGCAACGGGAAGGGATTACTATGTCGTCATGGGAGATAATGGTTTTGGGGGTTCCTGTTTTCACTTGCTCCTCTTGTAACTCCCTGACAGGTGTGGTCTCCGGCGGCGTGGACTCCAGCTCATGCTGCACTTCCTCCACCACCACAAAGCTGTTGCTTTCTTCAATGTCCTCTTCGATGGGCAAAGACTTGACGGACTGAGCCCGCGAAAGCTGCGGCGTGGTGTCCTCCAGCTGCGTCTTGATGCTCTCCGTCTTGCTGTGCAGGCTGTTGAGGCTACCCTGGCGCTTAAGTGCCTCCTCCGGGACAGCAGGCTCCGCTTCGGTCTCCTCCTCTTCGATGTCGTCTACCACTAGTTCTCCAAAGGCTTCCAGGGGATTCCTCTCAAGGCCTGCCTCAAGCCGCTCGCTGGTAGCCAACTCCAGGCCATGGCTGTCGCAGGACTTGGCCGAGGCTGTGGACTTTTGAGAGTAGCTGGTGGACTTAACAGAGAAAGGAGAGCCATTGCCATCGGTGGTGTCTTTGACCGCTGTGGCTGCCTTGGGCGTGGGTTCCCTAAAGGAAGAGAAAGAGACCAAAACTGGGTTAGTATATATCTCAGGGGGGGTCCTGCCCCTCCAACCACTTACAACTCCTCCTCAAACCCGGTAAATGCCTTGTCTATGTCCGTGTCCGGTGTCCTCAGTGGCTGAAACACCGTGAAAGTGGACTTATCATCGACCAGCTGGCTTTCCGTATCAATTTGCATCGATTTTCTGCGAGACTCTGTCGGCACCGCCGTCGTGTCGGTGCAGCAGGTGCGGCAGGAGCCGCAAACCGAGCTGTAGCCACCCGCTGCCCCCTGGCAGATGCATTCCCTGACCGTCTGGAGGAGACTACGTGTCCTACGCAGCAGATTAGAGGTCTGCCCGCGACAGGCCAACACATTCTGCATTCTAGTATCCTGAATAATTGAAGCCTAATCCTGGCCAGAAGTACCCTCAGGCATAGTCCAGGCTTTTCCTTGAGACAACTACTTCAAGCAAGGCAATCGAGCAGACTGGTTTTGCATTGGAAAACACATTTCCCTAATAGGGGAAAACCACAGCGAAAAGCCAAAGTTGCAAACGAAAAACAGGACATTGCGTTTTCCAAGCAATCACACGAAGGGACGTGGACGTGGACACACACCACTACTATTAAAAGCCAAGAAAAGGCTCTCACCCACGGGGAAAGGTCGCAGGATGGTCTAGCCACAAGCTCTTCAACGAACTGGGCATTGGTCGCGGGCTGTATTGGTATTTGCTAGCCCTAGCCTTAGTCTTAGTCATCTTCGGGGCTCATTCGTTAAGCCACGAAGTCATCCGAAGTGACCACCACAAACAGGTTTCCAAGAGGTCCTTATAAAGGTATATGTAGTAAAACTGTTGCCTGGAATTTTGTGGCACTCTTGAAATCTAATCCAAGATGGGGGAAGGAGGAGTTCAGCTTAAGGAGAACTTACTATTCACGATGAGCTTCTATTTTTTTAGTTTAGGCAGGTCCCCCTGTAAATACCCTTCCCAAAAGGTCCTTACAGAAATATAGTTATTAAAAGTGTTGATTAGATAGTCAGGAAAAATAAAATAAAATCTTAATACCCTCAAAGAAGACTGAAAATATTTAAATGTACATTTTCCATATTTTGTATGGTAATTTTTTAACTAATCAAAGTTTAAAAACTGCATAACTTGGCCAAAAAAGCGGTAAATTCAATTCGGAAAGTTTTTCTATGCTAGTTTTTCATAGGTTAACTAATCTGCATACTAAGTTGAAAATAAAATTTTTGGTCAAATTTTGAAAAAAATCATGATGTAACCCCTTATCATTTTTCGAAAAAATGGCCAAAAAATGGATTTTCTCCGGAGTTGGCCAGAAAGATGCGCCTGTTAATGCTGATCAAGAATATATATGGTTTATGGGGTCGGAAATGACTGCTTCAATAAATAAAATCAAAATTACCTTCAGGAAAACCGAAAAAATGTGAATTTTTTAAATATATATTTTCCATACTTTACAATATGTATTCCTACTAAGACTTTTGTTTTCTATTTAATAGTCGATGGCCTTGGCTGCTAGTATTATAAGTTTATATTTCAATTTAATTTTTTATATAATTCCAACATCAAAAATAAATATAAAAATATATATAAAAAAAATGTTAAAAAGTAATCTTTTCATTTTAGGCAGGTCTCCCTGTAAATACCCTTTCCTGGACACCAGTAGTTTTAGTTTTAAACAGTTTTCAGCATCCAAAAAAATATTTAAAAAATATTACAACATTTTAAATAGTATTCTATTCACTTTAGGAAAGTCCCCTGTAACTACCCCTACCTGTACACCTCTAACCCCCTTTGTTACTCCCACTTTTAAGCTTTTTTCATGGTATTGGCTAGATAAAACCCCCTTAGCCAGTGGTCATTTGAAGGTTTATCGCCAAACGACGACGTTGAGCTATGTCCCCTGCCATATTCTTAAATTTCAGCAACGCAACACCCACTGCGCATTTATTTAGGTTACAAACCCAGCGACACCTTTAAGCTCAGGGCAGGTGCGTGTGCCGGCCGGGTGAAATTCGCCACCAGCTGAAGCCTTAATGAAAGGGGGGGAAGGTAACCCCCGACGGAAAACTCGGACTGGTCAGAGAGTAGGGCGCTCAAAAATGTAGGTTAACATTCGCTCACAGTTGGGGGTAAATCATGGTAAATGGGACCCCGATGCCGGTGTTTAATTGAGATACGAAAAGTGGACACTTACACTGATTTAGCGGAGTCGGCGCAGTCGATGGCACCAGTGGAAAGCTGTCTTCGGGGTTCCGGGTTTGATAAGCCTGGAAATAAAGTTAAATTAAAAATTAAATTAAAATTTAGCAGGAACTTTGAACCAAGAAGAAGCCTTCTCTTACCTGTAGCTGCTGGTGGAGCATTCCTAGCCACTGAGAAGGAGTTTTGGTGCTGCAACTTGTTTCGCTGCTGGTTCTTTGGCATGACCTTTGGATAAGCCGCATAGGGATAGGTGTTCCGGTGCATGCTACGCATCAAGTTGTTCTCAAAGTCCGTGTGCTGGTTCATGGCGGGAAATCTGAGAGAGGAATTAAGACCCATTCCTTGGAGACTCTATAGATGACCTACCTAGAATTTATTCCTTGAACATTCCTAGAAGTTAGCTGTATAAAGCTACTGGTGGCGCTTCCACTGCTACAGGTGGTGGTGGTGCTATCAGTGCTTCGACCATCCATCGAAGTGTCCGAGCAGGCCTTGGCCACCAGTCGACGGTCCAAAAAGTTTCCTAGAATTAGCAAAAGTTTTCTAGAATTAATAAGGAATGATTAAGCTAGCCTAGAAGAAACTCACCGTTTATAGTCTTAGCACCAAAACTTAATCTCTGCGAAAAGTCCTGCAATTAAAAAATATATATATTTGCTTAAAAGATTCAGGGAATAAAGGACTCGAACTCACTGTCGTTGGGCTAGTCATGTCCAAAGTTTCTGGCGGCGAATGAAAGGAGTGGCGATACAAGCTCTCATTGACTTGGCTGAAACTAAAATTGCAAGCAAAAACAATTAATGAAAGTCAAAAAAGTTGTCGTGTGGAGTTTACAGAAAAATATATAGAGACGTTATTATTATAACAGATTTAGATAACTTCTGACGTATTTTGTTGTTAGATCGAGGAATGTCACCTTGAGGTATTTGAAAAGCCTATACGTCTAGGGATTTGTAGGGGCCATAAATAAATTTGAATAAATTATATTCATAATACAATTAGAATTTACTTGTATTAATATATTAATTAATTAATTAATATATTTTCCAAATTATTAATAATAAAAATTAATAAGGAATTTAGTAGGAATGATTAGGTGATCAGGAGAAGCTAAAGCTAAACTAAATAAAATCATAAAAGCCTTAAAGAAAACACAGAAAATATTTAATATAATATTTGCCATATTTTTTATGATAATTTTTGAATAAATCAAAGCTTAAAAATGACATAACTTTGCGAAAAAAGCAGCAAATTCAATTCGGAAAGCTTTTTTATGCTAGTTTTTTCTGGGTTAACAAATTGGCATACTAAATTTAATTTTTTAAAAAATCAAATTTTTGGTCAAATTTTGAAAAAAATCATGATGTAACCCCTTTCATTTTTTTGCAAAAATGGCCAAAAAATGGATTTTCTCCGGAGATGGCCAGAAAGATGCGCCTTTTAATGCTGATCAAGAATATATATGGTTTATAGGGTCGGAAATGACTGCTTCACAAACTAAAATTAAAATAACCTTTAGGAAGACCTTAACTCACCTCGGAAACATGTCCTTCTTGTCTTTTCCCCCGGCGCCCTCCTGGATCCCACGCTGGCTGCTCGCCGCCCGCATCCGTCTCCTCTTTATAGTGTTAGGCGAGGCGGATCCCTCGCCCTGGCAGATCCAATCCACATCCGCTCCTGATCGCCTGATTCCCGGCTGATCCGTCTGGTTGAAGACGAACAGCACAGCACTGTCCGGCGTGACTATGGGCAGCTGCAGCCGGGAGAGGCGCACGCTGGCCGCATCCAGCATAAGCGGTCCCAGATCCACACTCTGGGCCATCTCCGAGACAATACTGAGGACCTCCTTCTTGGAGGAGATGTCCGACAGGACGGCCAGCACTTCCAAGGCGGCCTGGCGGACACGTCGCTTTCGATTAAGCAGGGAATAGACCGCCTGAGCAGTCAGCAGGTTGATGTCGAAGCAGGTGCCCGGCAAGGTCATCAAAGCGAAGATGGACATTTGCAGGGCGTGGTCCCGAAACTAGGGGGAAAGGTTACATTAGCAGAGGTTCACTTGCCAGAGAAAAACCCACTCACCTTTGAGCTCTTTGCGTGCAGAAACTCCGGGGACGTGAGCCTGGCCACAATGGTGCCCGCCGGCAGGCGCTGCATCAGTGCCTTGCACACTCGATTGGCCCCCGCATTGCCCTGCCGGCACAGTCCTGTGAGTATTTGGGGCGTGCGCTCTTCCAAGTTGTCCAGCGGCAGGCGGGTGATCAGGTTCACCAGCAGCTCTCGCTTCAGCTCGGCCACCTCAAAGTGGCGCTCTGAGGAGAGTAGGGTCCTTAACAGACTGTCCAGATATGGCTGCACCAAAGCCAAAGTGCTAGAAGAGCTGAGGGCCTGCTCCAGCTGGGCAATGCCCAACAGACGGTTGCGCCAATCCTGGAAAGAGTTTGCAAAAAAATATAGGTGATTACCTGGTGGCGTGGCAAGTGTTTATACATTATTTTTTTCTGTTTGTTTGTGTTTTTTGTTTATGGGCCATTTGGGCTAATTTGGCAAATTCGAAAATGTATGCCAGGGAAATTATTGCTAAAGTTGTAAATGGAAGTGAGAGAGGGAGAAGGGAGAATGGAATGGAAATGGAGAGGAAATGGAGAGGACCATAGAATAAATGTCATACTAGAGGAGGAGGGGTGTTAAATAACTTCACCTAAAACATAAAATATCCCCTTTAAACCTCTTTAAATGTACAACCCAGCTTACTTCCTCTTTCAAGTACTTTTTAACTCTTTGAAATGACATTTTAATGCTCGAAAAATACAACTTAATTCGTTCTGCCAAAGTCTAGAAGCACCTTTTCCCCACTTGTACGCGCTATTATTTCGGTTAATGTTTTTTATATATTTTTGCCTCGGACTGACCCAGTTCTTGACACGCTCTCCGGCACAGGACCCTTCTCTCTCCCTACCCTTCCTGGGGACCAGCGTCTTCATCAAACTCTGTTCCGTAACGTCGCATACGAGCTGCAAGCTGGGCATGAGTTATGGTTCTTGCTCTTGTTTTCCGCTTTCCCACCAGTTGGAAAATCGCGTGCACTTAAATGATTGACCGGCCAGGTAGAGCTGCATATACCTGACGGACCACTACTACCTCTGGTGCTCTGCTGCAGTCCCATCCTAGAACATGCAATTGTGTTACCCGGCGGAATCCCCAAAGTTGTTTTTTTGCCACTCAAAAAGTTGGTCCTGATAACCGGGGGAAACATCTACTGAGTACTGTTATTTTGCTGACGCACAACCTCTTAAAAATGTTAAAAATTTGCCTTACTTTTTATGTTTTTTTATATTAAGTTATTTCCTTTCTTTTTCTAAGTTTTTTTGCTCGCAGTAACAGCCACGTTTAACCCCAATTTCTGACAGAGTGAAGCAGCAGTTATAATTCTTTATTTTTGGTCACTGAGTATGACTGGAAAAAGGGGTTCATAAATACTACCAACCACCCAACACTTTCCTCTATATGTAAGCTATACGTCAAAAAATTAATAGGTCATTGGTACAGTGGCTTTGTTCTCCCCACCAAAAGGCATCGATACAGGGCCCTAGCTTTGGCTTATCGCTGAAATTTTCATTAGTAAGCAGGGGCGGAGAGGTAGTGTAGATCCCTCCAAAAGGGGGGTATATATAGTACATATAATGGCAACCCGCCCCCGGACTGATGCGTGTCTCGTCCGTAATAAAGCCGGCCGGGCCGGGTGCCATTATGAAGGCAGAATTATGAACGCATATGAAATTGTACATATCCTAGTGACCCAGTTTGGGCCCGGACGTCGGACGCCGGTGGGTTAGCGTGCGGCGTAATTTCATGGCTTTATTTTCGTTTTCAAATACGGATTCAGAGCGGAGATTGCTAAATGTTGGGGCTCTAATTTCGCTGCAATTACGGAGGGGGGGCCGGACTTACCCCGGAACGCAGGTCCATCAGCGTCTTGTAGTTGACAATGCCCAGATCCTCCCAGGACTTGGGCGTGGCTGGGGACTCCAGGGACATCACAGAGTCCGAGCGGTTCCTTTGAGCGGGTAGAGTGGGTGAGGGTGATGAGGTTTCCATGGTGGGTAGCTGGGAGTCCTCCTCCTCCTCCTCCGAACGTCTCTGAGATCTGGGTGAGGGATCCCTTTGGAGGTTGTGCAGCACCTCGATCTGCTTGTGCGGCACCTTGGGGCTGATGTTGGGACTGGTGCTGCGGCTGCGATTGTAAATGGGGGATCTTGGCGATGTGGAGGGCTTGGCCTCCTTGACAGGTGAAGGCTCGTGATCCCTGGAACTGCTGGTTACCTTTTGCCTTGGAGAACTATGAGAGCTAAAGGGTCTTGACGGAGGCAAGGGCTTGGTGTTGTCGGAGGGTATCTCCACTACAAGAGCCGTGGCCATGTCATCGCTGGGCGGACTCAGAATATTCACCGCTGGCTGCTCTTCTACGGGAGAGGGTGAGACTTCACCCAGGACCAGAATGGGTGTACCCTCACCAGCATTCCTAGAGTTATTCGTGGAGGAGGCGGCATCACTGTCGGGGGTCCTCATCTTCACTATCTCCCCGCCAAAGGTCACTCTTTTTAGACCCCGCGAGGGAGTACTGGGCTCGGACACGCTCTCCCGATGGCCAGGCCGGGGCTCGTCCAGCTCCGAGTCACTTATCACCCGAACAATGCCCGCCTGCACGTTGAGTCCACCTGGGTTGACCAGAGGCCGGCACACCAGATCCTTGGACTCCACATCCTGGGCATAGGTACGGGCTGGGCTATCAGACTCCTCCGTCTCGGTGTCTGCCTCAAGGAGACGCATGGTCACGGTGTCATCGTTGATCTTGATCTCCGTCTCCATAATGACCTTTCCCTTGTCGGGGCAGGAGTTGTCCAGGTTCTGGCCAGCGACACTGGTGTTTCTCCAGCTTTGGTCACGGGGCAGGGCGCGCCAGGCTCCTGTCTTACCCGACTCCCCAGATCTCTTGGGCTTTCCGGAAACTCCATAAACCTGACACAGCTGATAATACTTAGCCAGGGCATCGCTGCGATCCAGTTTATTCATGGTGTCCTCGAATTCGTGGACTCCCAGCAGCTCTCGCATCTTGGAGAGCACCTTCAGGGCAATCTCTTGCTGGGCCAGTTGGTCCAAGTGCTGGACAACCCGCTCCAAGGCCCTCTTAACAATGCGATGTCGCTGCGGGGTGTGCAGAATGGACTGCAGCAGGGCTGGAAGGGATAGCAAGACGCCACAACTAAGGCGACCCGGGTGCTCCGCCTCCATCTGGGTTTGCTTGGCCAGGCCGGCGTCTAGAATCCTCATTATGACCGCCTCTGGAACAGCAGTCTCGGCAAGATAGACCCTCAGACAGTCGAGGGCTCCCTTGCGCACGGTAGGAGCCTGATGTCCCAAGTTCTCCACCAGCAAGACAACGAGTTGCTGCCGCTCCATGTGCTCGTCGGCCTCGTCTTGCATCACCACCAGCACATCGACGAGGACGCGCAGGGCATGCTGGCGCACCTGCCACTCGGGGTCTTGGAGGCGCTCGTGGAACTCGGCAAACATGGAGCCGGAGCAAATGGTTTCCGGCAGGCGGCGGGTGCGGAGAATGTGCTCCCACAGCGGTGTGAGCTGGACGGCTCCTATGGGGGCGGCCTCCGGTCGTGGGCGCTGCTGCATTTTCGGCTGGGAGGCGGAGGCCTCCTGGTTGTTATTGCTGTCCTTGACTTTACTGCCAAAGTAAGTGACACTCTCGCTGTCCTCGCTGTTGTAATCCGCCGTAGTCATGGGCAGCGACGGCGCATTATCCTTGCGTTCCAAAATGCGACGAAAGAACATGGTACGCCGGCGATTGTCTGACCAACTGCCTCCGGTTTTATGCACTCGCTTTTTAATTTTTAATTGTCACGCACGCCTGCATCCGGTCGGCTTCGTTGGGCATTTCCCGAATTTTCCGAGCTCTAGTTTTTGTAGATTTTCCACACTTTCCACTTGACCACAACAAAGCGCTTCAGCTGGCTAGCAACGAATGCCGAAGTTGGCCTTAGTTCGGGGCTTTTGTAGCCAAAGTTGGCAGCAAATTGGTTTGAAGAGCAGACAAACTGCGCAGGTCAGCTTTGCTCTCTGGCTGAGGCTTCGATTTCGGCTTCGGCTTGGTAGGCTTTTCCTTGGGGACACGCAACAGTTACGAAGGATCGAAACCCGGCTAGGGGAATCCCTTTTGGGAGGAATATGGGTGGACAAAAAAATAAATGCAAATAAAGATAATATTTTGAAATGAATAATACTGAAAACAGCACGGAATGGCAGCTAAAGAAGATCAGCTCGCTCCATGGTGGCGGTGAAAACAGGCAGTATCTGCCTTGAAAAAAGGAGTATTGTAGGGCGAATCCCAGATTGATATTGCTCCACAGGAAGAGGGCGATCACTATGTCAAAGGTCAGCAAAGCCACTCCACTCGTTGTTTTAATTTCACTTTTAATTTAAATTATAGAAATTTTAAATTGCAAAACAAACAAGAAATAATAAGTAATTGCTTCTGGTTAATACGTATTTAATAACATTTTACTACAAATTATATAATTAAAATATATGTAAACTAGTTCTAAGTTAAAGGAGACATTTTAAGTATTTCCGAAATGAATTTGTCTATGGCTAACGACTAAGGCAGTTACGACGGGAAGGGGGGCGATGTTGGCGAAATAATAAGTTAGAACAATGTTAAAATGTACTTAAATGGCGAGATAAATATCAGTAAAAGTATCAATATCAATATTAATACCAGTTGAAGGTTGTAACTAACTTAATATAGCACTCGGGAAAAAAAAACAAATGTACACAGAAGTCCAGAATTTAGGCAATTGAATTCGAAGTCGTTCAGTCAATTCGGTTGCTATTGAAGTGCTTTTTAGGATGGTTGGCCTTGATACAAGGCGTTCAGATAGCAACTATATATATATAGATCCTTAAAGACCAACTATTTGTAGCTTAAATACGATCTAACTTCGTTACGTGTTTTCATTGTACATTGCGAAATGAAATGGCATTACTTAAAGTCAAAACTTTACACAGAAATTTACACATAAAGTTTAGGAAAGAGCAGGTCCTTGCTCCCTCCCAGGAGTAGCTCTAGCTCCTTCACACATACTCCTCTGGCGGCGCTGGTCCACTGGTTGGCATCCTCAGCGTCGAGGCTGCTTGGGTTTGCTGCTGATTCTGCTGCTGCTGTTGCTGCTGCGAGGCTGGGCCATTGGTGTCCGGCAGCTCGGCTATGTCCTTGAACACTCCCATCAGATTCTCATAGCTGGGCCCCCAGTTGAGCAGGTACTCCCATCCTGGAGAGGCAGCTCCATTCCCCTTGCGATAGATGCCGCTCAGGTGATTCGCTATATCCTCATCGCTGGCCACCAAGGTGCTCAGGGATCCCCGGAACGAGGACTCGAATCCGTCATAGGCATGCGGCGGTATGGGTGGCGTCTTGACCACACTGGGATTCCTGCTAGGTTCCCCACTTAAAGCTCGGGCCACGGGACTCCGCCCATCCAGGAGACTCTTGCTGGTCGAGTACTTGCCATCGCCGCTGAGGCTATTGTTGTCGTACTCAATCTCCGAGCAGGTGAAGCTATCGTTGCCGCTCTCGTCCGTGGAGGTGGAACTATGGGCGTCCACGTCCGTGTTGTGCATCCCGCCGCCCATTGACATGTGCAGGGCGCTGCTGGGCACTCGCGGTGCCGCCTCGCTGCTGGAGGAGACGGCATCCAAAGTGGAGACCAGGCTGCAGGTTCTCGGCCGAGCATTGAGCCTCTCGATCTCCTCGGCCGTCAGACCCATGGAGGTCTGTGGAGGCGCCTGCTGCGGCACTCCCGGTTTCTGCCGGCTGGCGCTGGAGCTCTGGCCGGAGAGCTGCGACATCACCGGACTGTTCAAACTCCGCTCACTGTTGCTGTGCAGGGCATCCTTGCCGACGCCGCCCGAACTGGAGGTGGTGGCCAGCAGGGCGCTCTGCAGCGGCTTGCCCGAGATGTCGTGCAGCGTGAGGATGCGCGGCTGCTGCGAGCTCAGCTCGGAGCTGGGCGAGAGCCTGGCCAGCGGCGTGCTCTGGTGGGTGCGCGAGGCACTGGTGGGCGGCGGCGGTGGCTGTCCGCCCTGTCCTCCTCCTCTGCTCACAAATGGCGCTCCATGGCGATGCTGCTGCTGCTGCTGGGCAGCGGCACTCTGGTGCTTGTGGTGCGTGTAGGCGGACACTGGCGGGGCCGTGGCCTTGTACTTGCGCAGGCCGCCCGCCTCCCGGTAGCCCTTGTAGTGGTAAACGATGTCTATGTCCGAGGGCGCTATGGAGCTGGCGTTCTCCAGGTCATAGTGCTCCGGGTACTCGGAGCCCAAGTCCACAGAGCCGGCATGCTCTAGAGGCAGCGGATGCAGCGGCGGCGGCATGCCCATGTGGTGCTCCTCACGGATCAGCGGGCTCTTGCCCACCACTTCTCGCTCGATGATGTCCGGTCGCTGGGGACGCTGCTGCGGCAGCTCTGCCGTGGGCGTCAGCTCGCTGCGCTCCTTGAACTTCTTGGTGAGCAGCTCGGATCCGACCAGGTGGTGGGCGCCCACAGGCGGACGCATATGATCCCCTGCTCCCACAGGCGGCGAAGGAGCCTCACTGGGATGGAGACTTCTCGCTAAAACGTGATCCTGCGAGACTGCGGAACTGCCAGCTCCCAAGACCCCGCCGGGATGCTTGATCTTGAAGCCGGGAACACCGCAGCTCAGACTGCCAATCTTCTCCTGCTTGCCACGGAAGCGATAGATCACATAGGAACCGAGGATGGCCACCACCAGGATGACAAAGAAAACGATTACAAGGGTGATGCCAATGCTGAGGGGATCGGCCACCTGGGCGGCATCGAGACCTATGCTTCCGCTGCAGCCAAACTCCACCTTGCCGTGGTAGAGAACCTCGGGGAAGATGCTGCCGGAACCGTTCAATGGCTGCAGTTCATTGTTCACCGTCACATTGGCCACGCAGCCCACGAAGGCCTCCTCGCCGGGGGCACCACCCACACTCAGCGAGGTCAGGTAGGGATCCAGAAAGTCGTGGACGCCGGCAATGTCCAGTTCATCACCAGCCTGGCGGCCATCAATCAGCAGACGAAGGCTCCGGCTTTCGCTGTACAAGCTCACGTTGTGCCACTTGCCATCGGCCAGGGAGGAGGGTTCCGGCACCGTCATGTTGATGGCCAGATGCTGCCTGGAGTAGTACACCAGTCGGCCTCCATGGAGCGACAACGAGGTGAACATCTGGTTGGTGGCCGCATACAAAATCATTCCCTGATCCACAAAAGTGCGGAAAAGCAGGCTGAGCATCTTGGGCGGCTCGTAGATCTGGGAAGCTGTGCTAATGTTGTGGCCCACAGCAATCTGTCTTCGTTCTCTAAGTCCATTCTGCGACCAGGCGCTCTTGGAGCTGTACAGATTGTCCAGCAGCTGCATGCGGCGATGTATCTCCGAGACGCGGAACTCCACAAAGGCGCCGCCACTGAGGGTGATGGGTTCCAGGGAGTCGCCACAGTCGGGTGACTGCAGTTGGCCGCCACACTGGCACAGGGAACTGGACCACCGGTCAATGCATTGGCCAGCAAAGCCTCCACAGCGCTCAGCGGCCAGGGCCGGCTGGCAGGCCTGGCGATTGCACCCGGGCAGGATTCCTCTCTGCTGAAGGGGCGTGCTGAGGTTGAGTGCTCGTCCGCCGATATGCACGCTGTGCAGGCAGCCCACCAGGTCATCGCTGTGCACCTGGCCAGGTCGCTCCAGGACAGGATCAGCGGAGGAAAGGCCGCCGATCAGCAGGGGCTGCTTGTTGAAGTTGAGGGTGCTGTGGGGGAGTAAAGGGGAGATGTTAAAAAGGATCTGTGATGGGGATAATACAATAATGACTTGAGCAACACTTGGGATCCTCTTCTATAAATTTGTTGTATAATTTTTTAACTAATCAAAGTTTAAAAACCGCATAACTTGGCCAAAAAAGCAGCAAATTCAATTCGGAAAGTTTTTCTAAGCTAGTTTTTCATAGGTTTACAAATCTGCATACTAAATTTAAAATCAAATTTTTGGTCAAATTTTGAAAAAAATCATGATGTAACCCCTTATCATTTTTCGAAAAAATGGCCAAAAAATGGATTTTCTCCGGAGATGGCCAGAAAGATGCGCCTGTTAATGCTGATCAAGAATATATATGGTTTATAGGGTCGGAAATGACTGCTTCACTAAATAAAATCAAAATAACCTTTAGGAAGACCGGAAAATTGGTTTTCTTTTAATACATTTTTTTCATATTTTTAATGATTATTCTTTAAAAATTTTTACAATGGTAAAAAAATAGCAAAAGAAGTTTTTTCTTTCATGACTAGAAAATCTCGCCTTTACACGCTGATCATAAATATATATAGTTTATATGGTCACTGCTTAACTTTGCTTAAATTATAATACTTTACAAGGCACTAAAAAGATTTAAGTCGTTATTAGCGTCTGGCTAGGTAAACGAACACCTGTGTTTCTTTTTGATAATTTCCCTTGAAGTTTATAATATTTAAAGTTATTGTGGATAAGGGCTTACTCGGATAAGCCTTATCATTCTAATTTATTATCTCCCAACGGGCTTTACCCTCACTATAAAAGGGTTTTGGGTTTCAGAGAAATCATTCAGTAATTGCAAAATGCATCTACAGTACACAGCTTTGTTGGGGCTCTTGAGCCTGGTTTTATTTTGTGGAGCAAGTCCGTCTCACCGGGGTGAGAGTTATAATATAATTATATATAACATTGATCTAACATCTATAATTTCCTTTCAGTTAGAGGCAGTTCGGCCCCACCACCTCTCACTGGAGGGATATTAAGTGTCTCTCGCTCTCCCGATTGTAAGATATATATAATATATTATATTAACATTGATCTGACATTTATAATTTCCCTTCAGCTACTGAAAGTTCGGAGGACCAACCGCTCACTGGAGGGATATATAGGTCCCATTGTAAGATATATATATTATATAATATAATATTATTAAATATAACATTGATCTAACATCTATAATTTCCTTTCAGTTAGACGCAGTACGGAGGCCCCACCACCTCTCACTGGAGGGATATTAAGTGTCTCTCGCTCTGCCGATTGTAAGATATATATAATATATTATATTAACATTGATCTGACATTTATAATTTCCCTTCAGCTACTGAAAGTTCGGAGGACCAACCGCTCACTGGAGGGATATATAGGTCCCATTGTAAGATATATATATTATATAATATAATATTATTAAATATAACATTGATCTAACATCTATAATTTCCTTTCAGTTAGACGCAGTACGGAGGCCCCACCACCTCTCACTGGAGGGATATTAAGTGTCTCTCGCTCTCCCGATTGTAAGATATATATAATATATTATATTAACATTGATCTGACATTTATAATTTCCCTTCAGCTACTGAAAGTTCGGAGGACCAACCGCTCACTGGAGGGATATATAGGTCCCATTGTAAGATATATATATTATATAATATAATATTATTAAATATAACATTGATCTAACATCTATAATTTCCTTTCAGTTAGACGCAGTACGGAGGCCCCACCACCTCTCACTGGAGGGATATTAAGTGTCTCTCGCTCTCCCGATTGTAAGATATATATAATATATTATATTAACATTGATCTGACATTTATAATTTCCCTTCAGCTACTGAAAGTTCGGAGGACCAACCGCTCACTGGAGGGATATATAGGTCCCATTGTAAGATATATATATTATATAATATAATATTATTAAATATAACATTGATCTAACATCTATAATTTCCTTTCAGTTAGACGCAGTACGGAGGCCCCACCACCTCTCACTGGAGGGATATTAAGTGTCTCTCGCTCTCCCGATTGTAAGATATATATATTATATATAGGATATAATTATGTATAAAATTATCTAATAATTATAATTTCCATTCAGTTACTCTACCACCTTACGACCCAGACCACCCTTGTAAGAGATATAATATAATTATACCTAAACATTTATCTAACATTTAAAATTTTCATTCAGTTACTTTCGATCCTAACGACGACCCACTCCTTGGCGCTGGCATTATAATATAAATCAGGGATTCAACTACTTCTAAATCGGAGGACCCAGGCTTTCTTGACGAGATATATAACAGGGATTCAGATACTTCTTCATCTTCTTCTGCTCCTGATTTTACTTAATCTAACTATGAATACCAACTTTTTATTTTGTTTGTTGTTGCAACCTAACTAAACTTGTATTTTATTTTATTTTTTTGTTTTTTGTTTACTTAATAAATCCAAATATATTTGCATATTTATCAATCTTTTATTTGTCCTTCTATTCGTATTAACACTTTAGAAACTCTGAAAACTAATGAATCCTTGGGTTATCACCTCCCTAAAGCTGGGAAAAACCTTAAAAATAAATACAATCCTAATATAAATCATCCTACTTACATCTCCTAAAGTGTGCTCAAACCATTAAAAAAAAACTTAAAATACATAAAAAATCAGCTCTTTCTACTCACCCCACGGGTCCCACTTCATCGGCATAGCAGCTGGCGTCTCCCGGCGTGCACTCCATGCACACCTCACCCGAATCCGCGCACTTGGCCACGCTCAGGGACATGACGCGTCCATTCCGCGTGGCCGTCACCTTGTGCCAGCCGCCGTCCGCCAGATTCTGTCCCGCTATCACCGTGCTGATGGCTGTCCGGGCTCCACCCGAGGAGAAGTAGGCCTGGCCTTGCACCAGCTCAATGGCCAGGAAATCAGAACGACCGCCGCTCTGAATCCCGTAGTTGTAGAGCAGCAAAGAGTTGGGTTTCGTGGTGGCAAACACAATCGAAATGTCGTTGGTGGTCACATCTAACGCGGGAAAAGTCATGAAGGAGAGCGGCTCAAAGCCATAGCTAAAGCGCTCGCAGTGTCTTCCATACCGCCCAGGGGCGCAGTTGCACTTGTAACCCGGCTTAAGGCTGACGCACAGGCCGCCGTGCAGGCAGGGATTGGGGCGACACGAGTCCGACACGCTCTCGCACTGATTCCCCCGGAAGCCGGGCCGGCACAGGCAGAAGTAGGAGGAGCCATCGGAGCTGCGCTGACAACTGCCTCCGTTCCGGCAGGGTTTGCTCCAGCAGACATCGCTGCGCTCCTTCTCGCACTGCTTCCCCTCCCGGTTGGCCGGACACACGCACTGGAAGTCGCTGCCCAGGCGGCGGCACTGGGCCTGCAGCTGGCAGGGATTGGGCAGGCAGGGATCCTGCCGACGGCTGCACTGCTCCCCGGAGAAGCCGCTGGTGCACTGGCAGCTGTAGTCGTGGAGGATGCGAGGACCACTGAGCACGAGCGTGGGACTGTCCACAATGCTGAAGGTGTGCGTGTCCAGCAGCCGGATGGTGGCACTACAGACGCCTCCATTCTCGCAGACATCCGGCTCACTGCAGGGTTCATAGCCCACGATGACCTCCTTTTGCAAAAGCTCGGACAGAGCTGCACGCTTCTCCCGCAGGCGTTCGATGACCTGACGCGGCTGCTGGTAGCTTCTCTTGGCTGAGCGGACAGCCAGGAGCACCTCCAGGCTGGTGGTGCTGGCATTTCCGGCACCGCCTTCTAGGAGACTGTAGACGAGCACCTCGCCCTCCTGACCCAACCGGGACTTGAGCATCTCCATCAGCGGACGATAGTGCTGGGAGAGGAAATGCGAGGCAGTCATGTTCCTCACCAGCAGGGACACCGTATGGGCCAAAGTCTCGTTGCTGAAGCTCTGGAAGCTGACGCTCAGCTTGGAGCTCACATCCCCGTGCTTGCCATCGTTGCCCATGTAGCCAAAGGACGAGGCCGTGGGCGTGGTGTGCGAGGTGGTGTACAAATCGCAGGCCCTCAGAATGGCGAGTTGATTCTGGGCAGGATTCTGCAGGCGGCAGCGATACTCTCCCACAATATCGATGTCGTTGGGCCGCACATCCGCCAGCTTTACATTGGAGGGCAGATCGCCATTGAAGAGGCTCACAGCCACCTGGAGGTTCCTGCTCGTGGAGGGATTGTCATTCTGGTCGAGGACTGTGATCCTCAGAGTGTGCTGCGACCTCTGCCTGGGCTTGCCGCTGTCCTCCACCTCGATCACAGCCTCCAAGGCGGGCGTTACCTCGCGATCAAAGCTAACCGTGGACTTGACCAAACCCGAACTCCTGTCCACTTGCAGCCAGGACTTGTGCTTGCCGCCCACCAGCTGGTAGGTGAAAGGTCCACCATTGCGTGGGAGATCCGGATCACTGGCCGTCAGGGTCATAATGGAAGTGCCAGCCGGCTCATTCTCGGACACGTAACCCGTGAGGCCCTCGGGTGTGAAGGTGGGTCCATTGTCGTTGACATCGTCCAGGTCTATGCGCACTGTGGCACTGCCTGTCTGCGGTGGGAGACCCGTGTCTATGGCTCCAATTACCAGATTATAGGTGGCAATCTCCTCCCGATCCAGCTGGGCAGCGGTGCTAATCTCCCCCGTCTGGACGTCTATCCGGAAGCTCTGCTTGAGGTTGCCATTGATGATGGAGTAACTGAACTGGTTGTTCTGCGGCCGCACATCCTTGTCGATGGCCTTGACGGTGGTGACTTTGGAGCCTATAGAAGCCGCCTCCGAAATCGTGGCGGTGTAGTAGCGCTTGATAAACTCCGGCGGATCGTTGCCATCCTGTATGGAGATGATGACCTGCGCCTCGTCGGTGTCATTGCCACGAATGCTGCCATAGTTCTTGGCCATCACCATGAGCGACACCCGGTTCTGGGTCTCCCGGTCCAAGTGCCGGGCCACATGAATCACCCCCGTGTTGGTATCAATCCCGAAGCCCTTGTCATTGCTTGAACCCACTAGGAGGTAATAGACGCGTCCATCTTCGCCGCTATCCTTGTCCGTGGCCTGGACAGCGCCCACGCGAGTGCCCACGGCGGAGGTTTCGGACACGTCAAAGTGGAAGGCAGGCTGGAGGAACTGCGGGTAGAACTCGTTCACTCCCAGGATGTGGACATACAGAGTGGCATAGCTCTCCATACTGGAGTCGGGGTTCTTAGCCTTCAGCTGCAGCGTGTAGGTGCGACGTTCCTCGTAGTCGAAGATGGCGGCAGACGAGATGCTGCCATTGCTGGAGTTGATGGTGAAAAAGTGCCTATCCGTGCCGCTGGGCAGGAAGGAGTAGTGGATAATGGCATTCTTGGGGGAGTCCTTGTCGGTGGCATGGGCCTGGAAGACAAAGGTGCCCGCCGGCTTGTTCTCGGCTATGTAGCCATGGTATTCCATGTGATCAAACAGCGGCGGATTGTCGTTGACATCCGTGAGTATGATGGTGAGCATGGCCACTGCCTCCAGAGACTGAAAGCCCAGGTCTTGCACGGTTATATTCAGGTGATACTCCTGCACCAGTTCGTAGTCTAGCTGCTGTTGTACCAGGATTCCACCTGTTTTTTCGTCTACTCCAAAATCCTGACGCTCGTTGCCGCCGGAGATGGAGTACCGGAGCAGGCCATTGGGTCCCTGATCCTCATCCGTGGCTCCTACTGTGAGGATAATCGAACCAATAGGCTCATTTTCCAGCACACTCACCTGGTAGCTGTTGGCCGAGAACTTGGGCGCGTAGAGGTTCTCTCCGGTCACCACTATGACCACCCGGGTCTCATCCGACTGCGGAGGCACCCCGCGATCAGTGGCCCGAACCACCAGCTCAAAGCGTGAGTTGGGCTCGACTTCCAGTCGCTTAACCAAAGAGATCCAACCATCATGGCGTCCTATGGTGAAAATAGAGCTCAGGTTGGAGCTAATCAGGTGGTAATCCATCTCGCTGGCACTGGCCGCATCCTGCTTGTCGGTGGCATGCACCCGAACGATGCGCTGCCCTGGCACAGCGTGCTCCGGCAGTGGCGACAGATACTCCGACTGCTCGAACTGCGGCGGACTGTTGTGGGCATCCACAATGTTGATGTTGACCAGGCACTCGGAGTAGAGAGGCGGCTTGCCATTGTCCGTGGCTAGAATGGTGAGGGCATACATGTTCTCCGGCGAGCGGACATATTGCGAGTGCTTGAAGTGAACCGCCTGCGGAGGGAAGAGGTTAAAAAAACAATCAAAAAACCCACTCAGAATCTTACCTTCTTGCTGAAAATCTCCCCGGTGGCCGGGTCAATGCTGAACATGGGCGAGGGCTGCTGCAGGGAGTAGGAGATTACCGAATTGGGTCCCTGCTTGTCCCGATCCGTGGCTATGATCTGACCCACCAAAGCGATCGAATGCTGCAGCTCTGGGAAGCTAAAGCTGTAGAAGCTGTGCTCAAACTCTGGGGCATTGTCATTCTGGTCTTGGATGGTTATGGTGATGGGTGTCTCTGCTCGCCAGGCGCCATCAAAGGCCACCACTTTCAGGACATACTCATCCTGCTGCTCGCGATCGAGATGCCCGGCCACGGTGATGTTACCGCTCAGCGGCTCAATGCGGAATTTCTCGCCGGGATTCTCACTGAAAGAATACGTGGCATTGGCATTCGGACCCAGATCCAGATCCGAGGAGGTGACGCGGATCACAAAGCTGCCAATTTCTGCGTTTTCGGTGACATTCAAGGAGAAGAGGCGCGTAAACTTGGGCGGATTATCGTTCTTGTCCAGCAGATGCAGTAGCACACTGGCTGTGCCCGTGAGTTGAGGTACACCCTGATCCACAGCCTCCACCACGAAGGCATAGTCGCCCATCTCCTCCCTGTCCAGCCTCATCCTCGTGTAAATCTCGCCCGCTTCGGTGATCTCAAAGGTGCCCTCGTAGGAGTTCCGCAGGCGATACATGACCCTGCCATTCTCACCGGAATCCCTATCGCTGGCCTTGACCCTGGCTATCAGCTGAGGAGGCGACTCCTCCTCGAGTACCTCGGCATTGTAGATAAGCTGCTCCATCACGGGGGCATTGTCATTGGCATCCGTAACATTCACTGTAATCAAAGTGACGCTGCGCAGGCTGGGCGTGTCATTGTCGGCGGCCTCCACCCAAATCTCGTACAGGTGGGTCAGCTCATAGTCCAGGCCATCCTGTCCCACTCTCAAGACGCCAGTACTGGCATCCACTCGCACAGCATCGCCAGTGTTGCCTCCTGCTATGGCATAGCGCATTTTGCCCGCCGAACCCTTCTTGGGGGAGGTGGCGCTCACCTTGGTTATGGTTTTTCCCGGCTGCACGTCCTCCGGCAGGGTGAAGTGGCTGTTGGCCATGTATGAGTAGCTGGGAAAGAGATCGCCGGGTCGCAGTTCCACGGTAAGCTCAGCCGTGGAGTTCAGAGGGCT